CTTCTCACCAACACCTTAACGCGACACACACCTTCAAATCCATTAGCTCCTTCGTATTATAGACTCAAGAAAATACACGGCAGCGTCCAGACTCTCATAGACTCGTACGATAAAATAATCCTCGTAAGTGAAGGTTAATGAATTATCAAGTTGATGGACGATAAAACACAGAAAGGATCGTTCAGATATGTATAAGCGTGTTTACTATCGTCTCCTGGTGTTTAATTCCTTATACTCACGTCGTACAGAGGATGTTATGTATGTTATTAAAGCACCGTTTTTTTGGTGTGTGTGGGTTGGGGCGTGTTGGTGGGCGTGTGTGGGTGGGGTGTGGGAGGTGTTATTTCCTCTGCGGTATTATGTATCAAATTACGAGACATTAAATATTATGAAACACCTGTTGGACAGATGTTACAGGTGGTACAGGTGTGAGTGGACAGGTGTTACAGATGTGAGTGGACAGGTGTTACAGATGTGAGTGGACAGGTGTTACAGATGTGAGTGGACAGGTGTTACAGATGTGAGTGGACAGGTGTTACAGATGTGAGTAGACAGGTGTTACAGAATGATAGACAGGTGTTACAAATGTGAGTGGACAGGTGTTACAGATGTGATGGTTAGGTGTTACAGATGTGAGTGGACAGGTGTTACAGATGTGAGTGGACAGGTGTTACAGATGTGAGTGGTTACCGTCTGGGGCCTCACTTCCGGTACCGTCGCAACTCCTGTCCTTTCATGTTAAAGGTCACCAGTTGTGTTTGTTTGTTTGTTTACCTGTCACCTGGATAAACAAGGCGCTTCCTGTGATCTTGTTTACACTGTGTTTGTTTTTCTTTCGTGTGTGTGTGTGTGTGTGTTTGTGTGTGGTTTTGTTTTCTCTCATTTGTTTTTGTGGTTTGTATGTTGTGTTTGTATGTGACTTACTGTGTTTGTTTACGTGTGTGTGTGTGTGTGACTCTTATTATGTTTCTTTGTTTACATTTGTTTGTGATGTTTGGTTTTTCTTACTTGTTTTTTTTTGTATCGTTTATGTGGTTTGTTTTTGTTGCGGTTGTTTGTAGTGTTTTTTCTCTCATTCGTGTGTTTGGTTTTATGGCGTCACTAATGTGGTTTGGTTTAGTTAAAGTCGTTTGGTTGTGTGTGTTTTATTATCATTCTCATACCTTCATCATCATCATCATCATCATCATCATCATCATCATTAATAACCTTATGTTTATATAATTACCAACTTATTAATTTTTCATATTATTTTTCCAGGTAAGTGTCCGTGCGTCGCAGGTGGCTGGCTCGTACGTCCGTAAGTACTGTATGTCCGTATGTCTGTACGTGGGAAGAGTTTACTGTATTGTACGTTAATGCGAACATGGCTATTGGTTGACTTTAATACCTGTGCGTTTATTTGTGTATGTATGTATGTATGTATGTATGTATGTATGTATGTATGTGTGTATGTATGTATGTATGTATGTATGTATGTGATGCTGTTTTATTCAGTATTACGGTATTTATCAGCAATATAGCGATATATACACGTACGTGGTGGTGGTGGTGTGTGTGTGTGTAATAATAATAATAATAATAATAATAATAATAATAATAATAATAATAATAAACGGTTTATTAATAGAGTTGCAGCCGGTGGCTGAAAATATACAGACTTACATTTGATTTAGACATAATGATATAATATGCATTGAATACATTTACAGGGCTGTACAGTACATAAATCAGGAATTGTTTATTATTTTAACAATAGATGGGATGGTGCTGTTCTTATATCTATCGGTGCAGGCTCTTATGGGCTGAATTTTGTTATAGTGGCGGACTGCGCGAGTTGGGTGGGGGCTGCAGGTGGCAGGAGGTGGCGATGATGAGGGTGGTGCAGTAGTCCACTGCCAAACCTTTCCAGTGCTTGGTGGTGGAGGTCACTGAGGGATTGCATTTCCAGGGTGGAGAGAGCGTTGGTGTAGCCGGAGTATTCTGCGCCGAGCATGATTCTGCAGGCCCTTTTCTGTACCTTCTCTAGCTGACGTTGTTGGGTGGAGTTGAGAGAAGACGTCCAGGCTGGTGACGCATACGTTAGTTTGGGGAGAATAAAGGCGTTGTAGATGGTCCTCAGCTCTGGCGTGGGTGTCCCAAGTGACCTAAGTCGTCGTAGCATGTAGAGACGATACGAGGCTGCCTTGACTGTGTTATTTACATGGGCCTTCCAGTCAAGTTTGTTGTCTATGGTTACACCCAGGAGTTTGGCAGACTGCACCACCTGGAGAGGATGGGCACCCACTGTGACTGCTGGGGCTTGCACTGGAGTGGTGGCGGTATTGATGTGCATGACTACGGTTTTGGTGTGGTTGATGGTGACCTTGTTCTCCGTGGTCCATGCCTGTAGCCTGTCCAGGGTGCCTTGTAGCGATGAGTAGTCTGGTGCGGTGTTGTCCACTGAAACCCCCACAGTGCAGTCATCCACGTACTTCCACCTGTGAGGAGTGTCCGATAGAGCGTCGTTGATCAGGATGAGGAAGCACAGTGGTCCCACCTTGGTACCTGGGGAACACCGCAGGTGAGGTGTTGGAATGTGGAGACCAAGCCCTGATACCTCACTGCCTGGCGACGTCCACTCAAGAAATCAGTGTGTGTGTGTGTGTGTATGCGTAAGTGCAATCTCGCCTGGAGTGTGATTGCATTTTTGAGTGCGTGATTGCGTTATTGTATCTCCCACAACCGAACCACTAATGCGGGTGTAGATAACGGAATCACCACCCTTGGGAGACGACCTATGTACGACACGACACGACACTGAAGAAAGTGACTGTGTAGGAAGGTACGTCACACACACACAGTGAGGGGGGGGGGGTGCAGTGTTTACATATAGCTCGACATGAACTCTTGTAATTAGGTCACGGCGATTTATTATTGAGGACCTGAATGGATTGATTGGGTGGATAGATGGGGCAAGTGAATGGATAGATGGATGGATTGATGTATGGATAGATGAATAATGATTGAATGGATGGATAGATGGATTCCTAGTTGACTTCCGAATGATCAATTGGCTGTTATTGGGGTTTGAGGGCTGATGGATGAGTGGATCATTGCCTAGAGGTCATCGCACGCAACATCACGGACGAATTTTAAACATTGGTGTTATAAGGACAGTCTGTCAGCATATGATTAGAGAGACTTTTCCTCTTTTCTCTCTCTCTAATCATATGCAAGGTAAATAATGGGGTTACAATGCCTTTGCCAACCAGATTATAATTTGCATGTTATATAACGTTGATGTGAAGGTAAATTGATCGTTAGGGGGGAGTTATGAAGAGGTAGTTCGGGTCACCTGAAGATTAGCCCTCCTCCACTCTCCGCTTACTTCATGTTGTGGATTTAAGCACACCCTAACCTAACTTAACCTAATCTAACCTAGCCTAACTTGGTCTAACCTAACCTAACGTGGTCTAACTTATTCTAATCAAACCTAACCTAACCTAACCTAACCTAACCTAACATGTGTTGTGAGTTGTGGTCCTTAAGGTACATTTATCTACCATAAATTTGATACTTGCTTAGAAATTCTTGGCTCATAAACACACACACACACACACACACGCGCGCGAGCTCTGACTCATAACCGCAATTTAAAAGTCTCCAAACCGCATTTTCCGGCTCAGCACCTCACACTTTCTCCCTTAGATCCGTAATTTTTCCACCACAACCACAATTTCTCCCCTCGTAACCGCAGTTTGTTCCCGGGCATAAGGAACCTTGAGTACAGACACAGGTTAAAGCATCTGAATTTGCACTCCCTCGAGAGACGTTCAGTGAGGGGGCGATATGTGTATAAATGGAAGTCAAGACCGCTGCTGTTTCCTCCATTCTTATGTTCTTATGTTCACAGCTACAATTTCTTCCCTCAAAACTGCGATCTCACCCTGTCAACCACAATTTCTCCCCCACAATCACCATTTTCCCCCCACAATCACAATATCCATCACAACCACCACATCCCCCTCACAACCACCATTTTCCCCTTACAACCACAAATCCCTCATCTCTCTACAACTGCGGTATTGTCAGTCACGGGGTTGTATCGGGGTTGTATAAGAGTGTGTATTACTACAAGGTGAGTCAGCTAAGGTCAAGTCAGGTCAGATGAGGTCGACGTAAATACCTTGAGGTGAATGACTGCCAAAGTGACACCTGGGAGCCTTATAGAACACCCATAGTCAATAGCTTCCCATACAAGAGCAGGGGAAGCTGTCACACATGTACACTCAGCCATGTAGTCACGTAAGTACTACCACTTATGTAGTCACTTATGTACAGTCACGTATGTACAGTTGAGTCGGTTTAGTGGCCGACCAGCAGCTTTACGGAGGTCACAGTTAGTAATGTGTGTAATAATTATTCTTGACAGACGACATGTTGGGTTCTGTTGTGGTGGGATGTGATGTTGTCCCGTACAGAGAGCCTAGATGGGTCCCCTAGTCATACAGGGCCCCAGTCATACAGGGCACTCAGTCATACAGGGCCCCCCAGTCATACAGGCCCCCCAGTCATACAGGCCCCCCAGTCATACAGGGACCCCAGTCATACAGGACCCCTCCAGTTATACAGGGACCCCAGTTATACAGGACCCCAGTCATACAGGGCCTCAATCATACAGGGCCCCCCAATCAGGCTATACAGGGCCCCCCAGTCATACAGGGCCCTCAGTCATACAGGCCCCCAGTTATCAGGACCCCAGTCATACAGGCCCCCCAGTTATACAGGGACCCCCATACAGGGACCCCAGTCACAGGGCCCCCAATCATACAGGGCCCCCAGTCATACAGGGCCCTCAGTACCCCCAGGGGGCCCCCAGTCATACAGGGACCCCAGTCCCCCAGTCATACAGGGCCCCCCCCAATCATACAGGGCCCCCCCAATCATACAGGGCCTCAGGGCCAGGGCCTCCAGTCATAGGCCCCAGTCCTACAGAGCCCTCATCAGGGGCCTCAGTCATGCAGGGCTCCCCCAATCATACAGGAGCCCTCAGTCATACAGGGCCTCCAGTCATGCACAGGGCCCTCCAGTCCCAGTCATACAGGGCCTCCAGTCATGCAGGGGCCCCCAGTCCCAGGGGCCCCCCAATCATACAGGGCCCCCCAATCAATCAGTCACACAGGGCCTCCAGTCATGCAGGGCCCCTCAGTCATACAGAGCCCTCAGTCATACAGGGCCCAGTCATACAGGGCCCCCAATCATGGGGCAGGGGCCTCAGTCATGCAGGGCCCTCAGTCATCTGGGCCCCTCAGTCCACAGGGCCTCCAGTCATGCAGGGCCCCCAGTCACAGAGCCCCCAGCCAGGGCCCTCCAGTCATGCAGGGCCCCCAGCCATAAGGGGCCTCCAGTCATGCAGGGCCCCCAGCCATACAGAGCCCCCAGTCATACAGGGCCCCCAGTCATACAGAGCCCCCAGCCACAGGGCCCTCAGTCATGCAGGGCCCTCAGTCTCCCCCAGCATGAGCCCCCAGCCATCAGCCCAGCCCAGGGCCCCAGCCATCCTGGCCCCAGAGGGGCCTCCAGAGCAGGGCCCCCAGCCATACAGGGCCTCCAGTCATACAGGGCCCCCAGCCATACAGGGCCTCCAGTCATGCAGGGCCCCCAGCCATACAGGGCCTCCAGTCATGCAGGGCCCAGTCATAATAGGCCCCCAACTCTGATCCAATCCTAATAGACTCTAACCCAAAACAAACTAAACCATTACAACTGATTAGGTTAATTTGGGTCCCATTTACAGTTAGCTAAGTTAGGTCAGGTCAAGTTAGGTTAGGTTAGGTCAAGTCAGGATAGGTCAAGTCAGGATAGGTCAAGTCAGGTTAGGTCTAGTCTGGTTAGGTCAAGTTAGGTCAGGTCAATTTAGATCAGGTCAAATTAGGTTAGGTTAAGCAAAGTTAGGTTAGCTTAAGTTGTTAGGTTATGATTAGGTCAAGTTAGGTTAGGTTAAGTTAGGTCAAGCTAAGTTAGGTTAAGGTAGGGCTCCTTTAACCAATCCTACCCAGTAGTTGAGGGGTTGGGGTGGTCGTGTTGTCATGGCTGTACAATATTATAGTAATGATCGTTTGAGAGAGTTAATGGTGGGAGGGAACTAATGAGTGCTGGATGTGAGTCAACGTTGGCGGGTCTCTTTTAATGCCGATGACACAATACCTGCGTCTTAGGTTCACCAGCCACTACTTATCTATAGTCATGTTTGGGTCAGTGTGTGTGTGCCTGTTTGTCTCTGTCTGTCTGTCTGTCTGAGAGAGAGAGAGAGAGAGAGAGAGAGTACTATATCTTGCAGCAAAACGGATCACCTAAAGATTCTTCCCCTCAGCTTATTTCACTTGAAGATTAACAACTCTATCGCTATCGTAACGTAATCTAACCCTCAGGTAGTGTTAGGGTGATTAATGTTCAGGTGACCCAACACAACATTCAGCGTCCGTTGCCACTTACACCCATGTTTACTGTAATAGAGCTCATGTTATATCTTGTCAGTTATATACATATTGTCTTAAGGTTATTATCTATCTGTGTAGAATAGTATATTATTTTAGGAAGCATCCGGGTACGACACGAGCCATGAGTCCAATCTGTTGTGTTTGTGTATAAAGGCGAAGATGATGGGTCGCACACTGTCAACAATGCCACGTGGATTTGTTTACATTTAACATCGAGCCATGGGACTGCGTCATCGCCAGCTTCAGGTTGTGTGTGTGGGCAGCAGTGTGTATGTGTGTGTGTGTGTGGGCAGCAGTGTGTATGTGTGTGTCAGCAGCGGTGTCATTACTCTTGTGACCGAGGATGATTCATCACCAGTATTTATGTTGGTGTAGTAACGCTGGTGACCGAGCTGTGTGACATTTTCTAATGAGGTCAATCCTTGTGAGGAACAGGAGCTGTACACTGCTGTTGTTGTTCTGGGACAGCTGTGGAGATGTATGTAAATAATATTCCTTTAATTACAAGTTCATCTTAAAGTGCTGCGCCAGTGTATAGATATTTTCTTTCGTGAGTGATTTAATTGTGAGTGAGTGAGTGAGTGAGGCGGCGTGTAGGGGTGTTGAGAAAGCTATAGAAACACAATAGAGATTTTCATGTTATTACAATATTGTGGAGTTTTTCCTATTGTTAATAATTATGACTCATCCGGGTACACCTCACAACACCTTAATGATGATATGCTTAACCCAATTAATTATATATATAGATTCCATTGTTATTCCGTAGTAGTCAAGGCTTCACTCAATATTGACTCATCATAATAGACAAACTCTTAAAATATGGAACCAAAACAAACACTCTGGGACTTGGGGTTTTCTCCGTGCATCTTACACCTCTTGACATATTTTATCGTTCACCTTACGCAGTGTTGGATCAGGTGACTCTTGGAGGGGGTGTGGGGGGTGATGACCTCAGAGTGCTTGACCTGCTGAAGTGGGAGACTACGGCTGTTGACCTAAATTTCCCCACACTTCATCTGAGCCGCTTTTTCCTCCCTCCTGGTCCTTGGTGGTGGTGAGGTCTTTGGTGGTGCTGAGGCTTTGGTGTTACTGAGGTCCTTGGTGGTGGTGAGGTCCCTTGGTGGTGGTGAGTAGGTGTGCCACGACTCAACTTAATAACGGTTAAGGAAATTACTACTTCAGCCAAAGGACTTTTTATGTATTAATTATAGACGCATCAGTTAGTCCCCTCACATTCAACACAATCAGTCGCTACACAATCAACTTAGCTCTTCAGTGCTTCGCTTGCTGCCTCCCCATCATCATCATCATCATCCCCATCCCCATCATCCTCCTCCCTTTCCTATCCTCCTTCAAGATATCCACACCTCTCCTCGCTTCTCTTCCTCATTTAACTCAACGTCGCTTCCTTCCCTCCCCGTCATCAAATCTTTTCCGTGTAATACGAGTATTTCCAGCTTCGACTCCCCACTACCTCCTCCCCACCACTACCTCCTCCCCACCACTACCTCCTCCCCACCACTACCTCCTCCCCACCACTACCTCCTCCCACCACTACTTCCCTCCACCCCTCACCTCCTCCCCACCACTACCTCCTCCCGCCACTACTTCCTCCCCACCTACCTCCACCTCCCCGCCACTACTTCCTCCCCACCCTTCACCTCCTCCCCACACTACTTCCTCCCCCACCTACCTCCTCCCACCCTTACTTTAAAGGTCCACAAAAGGAGTGAGATAGAAAACATAAGTAAACATAACATACCAGAACACAAACATTAAACTTTAAGAAACCGATAAACATTATGAGTAGTGAAGGATGTTTACATTGTAACTTTATTGCCTCTCTGCGCGCGCATGTGTGTGTGCACGCGCGCGTGTGTGTGTGTGCATCGAGGCTACCATTATACATGAACAACGACGTTGGACTGGCCATGTTACCCGCAGGGACGACAGTAGACTGCCAAAGCAGCTACTTTACAGTCACCTAACGAATAGTAAACGTAACGCTGGCGGGCACCTGAAAAGGTGCCGAATCGACCCCCTTACCTGGGAGACGATACTCCACATGGCAACTCTTGGAGGATCACCACACGAGAAGGTGTTAACACTGTCGAGTTAGCCCGACTGCAAACCGAGGCAGACAAGCGCCAGCGCCAGAAAGACGCTGCCGCCGCCACTCCCGCACTAGATGTAGCCCTCCACATGTGCAACGTCTGTGGACGGCCCTGCCTGTCCCGTATGGTTGATCGTCATGCTCGATTCCGGGTTGACAGCAAAGTAGTAGTAGTAATAGTAGTGTGTGTGTGTGGAGTATAATTGCTGCTATTCGAGTTTTATCCTTTTGTAGGGGATAAATTATGATCACACGAACGATAATTAGCCACCAGAGCTTATTTCTCCTGATGGTTAAAACACGCTAACGCTAATTAACCTAATCTGACCTAATCTAATGTAATTAATCTAAGGAAAAATTTCGGATTACCTGAAGGTTAGGCACTCCAGCTTCTTTCACCTGACGATTAAAACACCTAAAATCTAACCAACTCTAACTTAACCTCCCTCCAGGTAGCGTTAGGGCGTGTTTAACCTTCACGTAATCCAAAACTATAATTAATACTACTAACATAACACCTTTAAACGATAACATTAATTAAACATTAAAAAAAACCGTAAACACACGAGTTTTAAAAAGTTTGTGAAAAAAAATAAATATTACTCACGTCTCTTACATAACCCGGGTATATATATTACTCACGTCTCTTACATAACCCAGGTTTAACCACCGGACTCTTGAAGACGTCAGCCACCTACTGCTGCATCACTGAGAGCGGAGGATTACGTACTATTCTGGGTCTACCTGATCATGAGAGAGAGAGAGAGAGAGAGAGAGAGAGAGAGAGAGAGAGATTTTATTGGATCAAGTGTCTTGAGATTATAATTGTGTTGATATACCTTTATGTATGTATGTATGTACGTATGTATGTATGTGTGACTGTACGTAAGTATGTATGATCCATGGTAGGTGGGCGGGTACACAGGACCTTAGCACCGGTGCGTGTTAAGTGCGCTTGGCTCTGGGGTTTTCCTTCCTCCTTTTGTGGGCCTCCGAAGCACTTCTGGGGTGGGGGGAGGGCTCTACGTGGTATGTGTGGGCTTCTACTGGGTAACTTAAGGGGTCTACGGGGTATATCTGGTGGGGTATATCTGGAGTCTGGGGTATATCTGGGGCATCTCTGGGGTCTTTTTGGTGTATCTTGGGGCATCTACGGGGTATCTGGGGAATTACGGGATATATCTAGGGGTCGTCTATGGGGCACCGGGGGGTTCCTTAAAGGTTCCAGTGGTGATGCCTGGCTTATTTTAGGGTTCCTTAAAGGTTCCAGTGGTGATGCCTGACTTATTTTAGGGTTCCTTAAAGGTTCCAGTGGTGATGCCTGACTTATTTTAGGGTTCCTTAAAGGTTCCAGTGGTGATGCCTTACTTATTTTAGGGTTCTTTAAAGGTTCCAGTGGTGATGCCTTACTTATTTTAGGTTCTTGTTCCTGATTCAGTCAGTACCTTAAAGACTTTCGCAATTTTTTGGTTCCTTTCGGACTGAAAAGAAATCGTATTCACGTCTTTTTAAGGATTTATGATCGCTCTAGTGGGGTTCCTTAGACCACCCGGGGGAGGTGAGGTTTCAGAGCTCTCACACCCCTAGGGATAGAGGGGGGGGAGGAAGGAATTTGGTGAGGCTTGTATCATATGAGTCTACCAGATGGAGGGGAAGTGAGGCTTGAGGGAGTAGAGGAAGGAAGGAGGCTAGAGAAGGAAGGAGAAAGGAAGAGAGGTGGGAAGACGAAGGGAGAAAAGAAGGAGAGGGAAGAAAGCAGGAGGGAAGGAGGATAGTTTGAATGGAGTGGGGGTGAGGGAGGGAAGAATAAAGATCGAGGAGGAGGGATTATGGAGTCTTGAATCAACAGTGATACCGTAGAAGATGGGGAGTAAGGAGGGAGAGGAGAAGGAGGAGGAGGGATTTGGGGACTGAGGATAGATGGAAGGAAGGAAGGAGGGTAGAAATAAGACAAAGGAGAACAAGTGAGGAGGATGGAAGAGGAGAAGGGGAAGAAATGGAGGGAGGGAGAATGGAAACGAAATAAAGGAGAAGATAAACAGGAAAAGAGAGAGGGGAAAAGAGGAAGAAGAAGAAGGCAGGAGGAGGAGGAGGAGAGAATGGA